TCAAACCCACCAGCCACTCCTCGGAAGGAAGGTTGGGCAATCCTACTTCTGTAGTGATACTGCCTCGGAAACCCAAGGAGGGGTCGCTGTGAGTCAGGGCCGACTTGACGGCAAACAACAGCAACAACAACAACATCAGGGCCTGACACCCGGAGGAAACTGCTAACTGAAATGTTAGTGGCTTGGGTTTGCTTTGGCCTAACACTACTTCCATAGTGATACTGCATTGGAAACCGAAGGAGGGGTTGCTATGAGTCGGGGCTGACTCGACAGCACATAACAACAACATATAAATAAAATGCACACATGTACTATTTTCCTTTTGAACAGCATTAGAAAAATATCCCCCCAAAATCTAATAAAAACTGCTATTATATTGTTACCTTTTAACTTACTTACTTGCTTTGAACTGTTTTATTGGAGAGACAGAAGTACTCAGATCTTAATGGAGCCAGGTCTACTACTTAGGTATCACTTTCAAGTTGCAGGTCTCATTTTAGAAAAATAATTTGGAAAATGGGGTAGTTTGTTTTATTAGGTAGCCACTTTCATTTTATAAAAGTTTACATTTTGTATCTGATAGTTTATCATAGACACAAAATTTAAGGCATGTGAACCCAAAAGGAAAATAGGAGCCACTTACTCAGTGGTGTGCTGTTCTTTAGTGGTGGTCTTTAGAATGGTGTTAAACTCTTACTAGTTTTTAACTTTGAAGTATGATTCAGAAGCAAGGTTACTTCTTTCATTTTGAGTTGATTCCACCCTCAGTTTTAAAGTATGTAGTAGTTGGTAGGACCACTACAATGTTTAAAATAATTATGGTAGTAGAAATACTGAATTTAAGAAGTTGTCAAGTATCTGGAAAGTTTTGTGAATTATGGAAAAGAACCTTCAGTTATTTGTTGTTATTAAGTGGATTAAGCCAGTTCTTAGTATATTAAGAATGCTCTTGTTGTTATGTGCCATCGAGTCAGACCTGACTCATAGCAACCCCTCCTTGGATTTCCAAGGCAGTATCACTATGGAAGTAGATTGCTCAACCTTCCTTCCGAAAAGTGGCTATGGGTTTGAACTGCCAGTCTTCTGGCTAGCAGTCAAGTACCTTAGGCACTATGCTACCAGAGCTCCTAAATGCAAATTAAGGCCTTTAAAAGCAAGCATCATTATAGTGAAAAACAGATTATAAAGAAGACTAGTTTTAGGAAACTATTGCAGTAATCTAGGTGAGATATGGTATCTATGAATTTGTAAGACATGATAGGATTCTGCATACATTTGAGTCAATAAGATTTTTTGACAGATGAAATAGGATGTGAGATAAAGAAATACCAAGAATGTCTCCAAACTTTTTGGCCTAAGCAACAGGTAGAATGAAGGTGCCATTTTGAAATGGGAAGAACAAAGGATTAAGTCTTGTTGAGGAAAAGTCAGAAATTTGGTGCCAGACATGTCAAATTTGAAATGCCTATTAGACACTGAAGTATATATGTCAAGTAGGCAGTTGGATATACAAATCTGACTGTTGTCTGCATAGAGACAGTCATATATTTAAAGCTATAATATTTGAGGAAATCATCAAGGGGTTATGTATATTTAGAAAATATAAGAGATCCAAGAAGTAAGCTCTGGGTCACCCGCTGTTTAGACATTGGGGAGATATGAAGAAACCAGCAAAAGAGGCTGAGAAGAAGTGGTCAGGTAGATTGGAAGTAAACTTGTAGGGTATGGTATATAAAGAAAGTATTTCAAGAGAGGCCTAGACTATGTTAAATATTGCTAACAGATCAAGGGTAGTTGTAAAAGTAGCTATTATTCTCATATGAGATTAAGGAAGAACCACATTTGTTCAGATGAAAACAAACAAAATTCTAGGATGTCATTAAAGGAGCTCTGGTAGTATAGTGCCTAAGGCACTTGACTGCTAATCAGAAGGCTGGTGGTTCAAACCCACCAGCCGCTCCTTGGAATTCGGAAGATTGGACAATCCACTTCCGTAGTGATACCACCTTGGAAACCCAAGGAGGGGTTGTTATGAGTCGGGCCCTACTCGATGGCACATAACCACCACCACCACCACAACAGAATGTCATTAAGATTTAATTTAAGTTATAATTTTGATAGTGGGGTCTGCCTAGCCTGTATGTTTGTTCTTATGCATAACAGGTCCTAGGATTTTCCTTACTTTCCATAGTAGGAAGCACACAAATAAGAGATGATGATCAGAAGAAAACCAAAGAAATTTTAGATACTTTATGTATGCTTTGTAATTTTTTTTTTCATTTTTATGTTGCGTTACTGCACTGTTACATTTGTTTAATCAATAAATGGGAGCGTATTTGTGCCAAGCAACTATATTGTAGTGTTGGGTGTGAAGGAATTAATGAAATAGACAGGTTTCTTGTACTCATAGAATTGATTGTGTAATGGGGGAGACAGGCCTACAAGAAATAACCACGAAAATATAGAAAAATACTAAGTGTTGAATGAAGAGCATGAGGTTAGGGCTTTACTTTTGTTCTACATTATTAAAAAGTTTAGTTGTTGATGATGTGAAATGAAATTTGCTGGATCATTTAATGATGTAATCTACTTACAAGGAGCTCTGGTGGGTAGTGCCTAAGGCATTTGACTGCTAACTAGAAGTCTGGGAGTTCAAACCCACCAGCCACTCTGCGGAAGCAGGACTGGGCAATCTACTTTCATAAAGATTTTACTGCCTTGGAAACCCAAGGGGGTTGCTGTGAGTTGGAATCGACTCGATGGCAGTGAGTTTGGTTTTGGTTTATTTAATCTATTTACATTCCAAATGGAATTTAAATTCTAAGTATTTCTCCTTGAAACCTGTTAAATTGTCCTCATACTTGACTGTTAATTCTGTAACTTTTTAACCAGATTTAAGAGAATGATAGTTTATTTTTCTAAGTGATAATTTTTTTCCCCAAGTTTCTCTTTATTTGAAATAACTAAAAATAACTAATGTAAACACTACTAACTCCTTCATCCTCCAAAGGGAACCATAGAAAAATATTGACCTGATTATTATTTAATCTTGTATCTCCAATTGGCAGTGGCTCCCAACATTGAACTTAGAGCTTTATGCAGCATCTTCCCAGTCTCCTAGGAACACAGTAATCTGTATACAAGGGGATGTGTCATGGTGCAGGAGCAAAATGTTGATAGTAAATGAATAATTCCTCCTCCCTCCCCCAAACAGAGAAACACTCAGGTACATACATAGACCCATTTTATTGAGATCTTTGAGCAAGTAAACCTTCCTGACTGAGGGTCTGCTGTCAGCCATTATTTTCCTAGCCTGATACTGAAGCATCTGATAGTGAACTAAAGGGAGATAGGGATGATTTCAGCCTAGTAGGTGCTCTTGTGGCATAGTGCCTAAGGCATTTGACTGTTAGCCAGAAGACTGGCGTTTCAAACCCACCAGCCACTCCGTGGAAGGAAGACTGGGCAATCTACTTCTGTAAAGATTTACAGCCTTAGAAACCCACAGGGGGTCGCTGTGAGTTGGAATCGACTTGATGGCAGTGAGTTTGGTTATCATTAAGGTGACACCTTAACATTAGTTGTAGGAGGAAATGTTGTTATGTTGCTGTTATGTGCCATGGAGTTGGACCCGACTCATAGCGACCCCTCCTTGGGTTTCCGAGGCAGTATCACTATGGAAGTAGATTGCCCCATCTTCCTTCTGAGGAGTGGCTCGTGGGTTTGAACTGCCAGCCTTCTGGTTAGCAGTCAAGTGCCTTAGCCACTATGCTACCAGAGCTCCCGTAGGAGGAAATAGCAGCTTTAAAAAATAGCAGAGTTAGGATCATGCTTTTATTCTCATTATATTCTTACTAAAAAGGCTTAGGCTCATCTCATACTGTGATAGACTGTAAAGTTAAATTTGCAGAAGTTGGATTCCAAAGTTTATGCATAAGGCAGAAATAAAAATTACTTCTGAAAATCTCTGTAGAAGCACATTTTGAAGATTTAACATCTCTCAGAAAGTGCAGCTTAGCCAGTCTTTCTTCCAAGACTGGAAGAGGTGGCTACAGCTGCTGTCCTGTTTTATAAATGAGCGTCAGATTAAGAAATTGGCCATGGTTTAGGCAACGTGTATAAAAATGCATACTTTTATGTACTAGAATCTTCTGATTTTGTATGCACAGTGCAAGATGTATAGGACCTGTGTTACACAAATGAAGGAACGTAGGCTAATGAAATTCTCACTGTGTGCTCTAGGTCATATGGCTGAGTGAGTGGAATGATTGAAAAATCTTGGCATGATTAAGTCTTGTCTTTGTCCTTGCTGAGTACACCTATAGTCTTTGATTTGTTGGGAGGCAGTAAGCATAGGAATAAGAGCATGGACTCTGGAGCCAGATAGCCTGGGTTCCAGCTCTTCACACAGTTACCTGACTCTGATTATGCTATGTACCTCGATTTTGGGCATAATAGTACCCAATGCATATGTTTGCTATTATTGTTACTGTTAGTGCTGAGCTCCTGCTGTGTGCTAAGCACTAATCTAGACACAGGTTTAGCAGTAAGAAAATCAGAATTTGTGCCATTAGACACTGTACATTGTAGTGAGGAGTGACAGACAATAAAGATGTGTATAAACATAAATAAGTTCAGATAGTAGTAAGTGTCAGAAGCAAATAAAAGATGGTTGTAGGATAGAGAATTTTGGGGTGAGAGAAGCTGTTGGTTGAGTGTTTAAAGACAAGGTTCTCGATGGAGGTGACATTTTAGTTGAGATTGAAATGATGTAAATAGTGTCACAGACCAAGGGAACAAGCTCAGAAGATCTTCATTTGTATTGATTTCTGTATTTATCATAGAAAATTAAAATTTACCATATAAATTCACCTATGTTAATAATGTTATTATATATTACAAACAACATTGTTTCTTCCCTGATCTTTGAGGATATAACTTTTATTCCATTGAATGTTAGTATTGAGTTTCTATTGTTGATTTATTTTTATAGTTCTTCTTCCCCAAGAAGTTTCATTAGTATTGTATTTATATTTATGTTGTGGTTAAAAGAAAAATGACAGAATTACAAAATTTACTTAAAAAATTATAAATCTTTTAAAATTTAAATTAGCTTATCTCTTAGGTTTATCTTTTATAAAGTTTCTTTTATATTTTATTTAAGTAAATATACTGATTTAAATATCTTTCTTCATAGTTAATCCTGAAGGAAGTTGACTCACTGTTGTATGTCGACACTGACATCCTTTTTTTACGACCCGTTGATGATATTTGGTCTTTACTAAAGAAATTTAATTCCACACAAGTTGCTGCAATGGCACCAGAGCATGAGGAGCCTCGGATAGGATGGTATAATCGCTTTGCCAGACATCCATATTATGGAAAAACTGGAGTAAACTCTGGAGTTATGTTGATGAACATGACTCGAATGAGAAGGAAGTATTTTAAGGTAAGTTGATTAACATTTTTCTTTTTTCCTCTAAAATGCTTGATTTCCAATTTGGTTTTGCTTGATTAAAGAATAAATTGAAATAATCCAATTTTTCTTTATCTAAAATAATTCAAGAATAATATTTTGCTTAGTAGAACAGTTCTAGAAGTGAACCAACATGGCACTAAAGTGAAGTAAAATAGCAATACAGTAAGTAGTGAACATCATCTCCCTATATTGTGATTCAAAGTATGCAAAAACAGCAAGGAGGCCACATGTTCTGACCTCCTAGAACCCCACAAGAGTAAGGCAGAATCACCATCAATAATGCAAGGCCTATTCCTGCCAGGCCAGACATGCTGCCTCCCTCCAGCCCTTTCTCCAACTGTTCCTCCCAAAGCACCCACCACCTCTCTCCTGGGTTCAATAATTCGCTGCAGTGGCCACACAGAGCTCACAGATTATGGGGTTTATTAGGGAAGCACCACAGGCTACAATTCTAGTTCAGGAAAAACACTCAGTCTCTCTCCCAGCCCACCGTCCCTCAGCCAACAGTCTCTCACAGTCTCTTTCCCAGCAGGGCTGGTCCCTCGGTGTGTCTCAGTCAGCAATGCGTGTCTCTTGCGTCTCTTCCCCAGCAACGCATGTCTCAGGAGCCCGTATCTCTTTCAGCAGCACGTCTTCCTCAACCAGCAGTCAGAGAGAGTTCTGCTTCTAGGAGGCCTCTTTTAGCATAGTGCCTAAGGCACTTGACATACCTAATAGTTCAGCCTGTCCACCCATCTATCTACCCATACACCCATGCTTGCCTTCACTGACAACACAACCCAATACTGTATGTGCAAAAGGGTTCATATTTGTTGTCTGTACCTCCCTCTCTCTGTCTTTCTCATCCTCAGTGGTGCCATATTGGTCATTCACATTTGGTACATTGCCCTTCTCTTCACCCAAATCAATACTTATCTCTGTCTAACCGCATTCCCTCCCCTCCCCTCCCAC